CCACACCGCAGCAAATCAGAGGAACTCCTAGACCAGGGGTGGGCAAACTTTTTGACTTGAGGGCCACAATGGGTTCTTAAACTGGACTGGAGGGCCGGAACAAAAGCATGGATGGAGTGTTTGTGTGAACTAATATAAATTCAAAGTAAACATCATTACATAAAAGGGTACGGTCTTTTTTTTTTTTTTTTTTTAGTTTTATTCATTTCAAATGGGCCGGATCTGGCCCGTGGGCCGTAGTTTGCCCACGGCTGTCCTAGACAGTGGGGTCTTTCAGAGCCTTTAAATGTTCATTGGCGGGCACCTCCTGTGCCCATGCATGGGTCCCTCCCTGGACGGGGGCAGCTGACAGCCTTTTCTCCATCCTTGCCAACACCCATCTCTCCTTTGAAGGAGGCTCTGCAGGATCTTGCCCGCCTCAATGTTATCCTATGGATCTGCCCCAGGTTTCAGATATATCCTCCTGGGGAGAAGGCTTTCTGAACTGTCCCCCGATTCTCTCTCTCCTCTCAGCACCCCCACCCCACCCACCCATGACTCCCATACCCTAGCCAGAACATGGCTATCTCTACCCCAAAGCTCCCTGGCTATCCTTAAAAGTCAGTATCTCTCCCCACCCCAATTGCCCTGGTCTTCACCTGGCATTTACAGCCTCCCACAATTCGGTCTCAGGATCCACTCTGTGCTCCCAATATACTAGACTATTTTCTGCTCCCAGAGCACATCGTCATTATTCTACTTTCAGGTCTTATGCGGGCTATTCCTCTACCTGGAATGCCCTCTTGCATTTCCATGTAGTAAATTTATACTTCAAAGTCTAGCTGGGAGGTCACCTCCTCCAGGCACTCTTCCCTAACCCTCAGAGGGGATCCTCTCCTCTCTCTGAGCTCTGGGTGGACGATTGCTTTAGGGCCTTTTCACAACGGGAGTGCCCATTAAGTGTGGAGAGCAACTCTCAGTTTACAAATGGCTTTTCCTTCCAGGATCCTGGAGTCAGGAAGAGCAGGCAGGCTGAGCACCATTACCTCATTGGACTGATGAGGAGACCAGCTGGGAGAGAAATATGATTGGCCAGGTCACATGCCCTGTAAATGGTGGAGACGGGATTCAAACCCAGTAGCAGATTCTAGCCACACCTCCTACCTCCGGCCTGAGCTTTGCCTTCAGTCTCCACCATTTCTTGTGGCCTGGTCTTGTGACTCTCTTCTCCTCTCAGACTGAGCAGAGTAGTGGTCAGTTTTTAATCATGTGGTCAACCAAGTTTTTCTTAAAATAAATATATTTTTATTGATTTCAAAGAGGGAGAGGGAGAGATAGAAACATCAATGATGAGAGGGAATCATTGATCAACTGCCTCCTGCACACCCCCTACTGGGGACTGAACCCCCAACCAGGGCTTGTGCCCTGACTGGAAATCGAACTGTAACTTCCTGGATTATACTTTGATTCTCAACCACTGAGCCATGCTGGCCGGGCAGTCAATCAAGTTTTATTGAAGGAAGAGATGTGTCCATTTCAGCCTTTTCCTCCCTGCCCCCCCCCACCCCTACCCCAACCAGTCTCCTGGCCTCTTTATCACCCAACTCAAGACTCAGTCACCCAGTCGGAGCTGGTGGCAGTGTCCAGGCTCTGAAGGATAAGGATTTGGCTGAAGGCCCAGGCAACTCAGAAGAGGAGGAGGGGAGACACAAACAGGTCCCTTTCCTTGCCCTCACGCTTATCAGTTCCCCCACAGGCCCCAGGCAAACTGGGTGCTCAGCTTAAGGGAAAGACCTGCCTCCTGCTCGTCACCTTCAGGCCGCCATTACTTAAGAGCTGTATGACCTTGGGCTGCCACTTCCATCCTCTGAGACTCACTCTCTTCTGAACGTTCTTGGCTGTAAGGATTCAGAGCTCAAATGAGAAAATGCATGTAAAACAGTGATCACTAAATGCCAGTTGCCTCCTCTGGAGGTCTCCCTTCACAGGGAGCATCTCAGGAACCAAACTGCTCCGTATATTCTGGGGAGGGAGATGGAGATTTCACAGGCAGAGGCAGTGGGGCAAGGGCGACAGCACCCCGACTCTCATCTCTATAATGACAATAAGGCTACATTCACCCCTTACAAGTACACAGGTGACCTCAACAAGAAACACAGGCTGCCTGGGCAGAGAGGCCCCTGGGCAGGGCAGAGCTCTCTAGGTCCTCAGGGCTGGGAACAGTTCGGAGGTGGGGGTGCCGGGGGCGGGGGGACCTGTTTATATGACACACAGAGAGACAGACACAAACAAGAGTCACACCCTCTATGCAAAGTCACCAACACATGGGCACACCCTCACATGCACCGATGCACTCCCCTACACACACACACACACACACACACACACACACACAAATACAGAGATGAGACACACACAGGATCAAGATCACCAACACACTCACACAGGTACTCCTCACAAACTCAGAAACAGAGTCCTCCCTGGCCACCCCCAACACACACACATTCATAGGCACACACCCTTATCAAGCCGGGCAGGCGCTGGCCCTGCTGAGTCACCCACAGGCAGCTCGGCCCAACAGAGCCGGAGCCACGTGCCCGCCCCAATCAGGGAGGAGGCGGGGCCTGCGGCAGCTCCTCAGCGGAATCCCAGTCACGGCAGGATTCTCCCTGCCTCGCCCGTTCCCTTGAAGACCAGAGTCAGAATGGGGGGGGGGGGGGGGGGGGAGCTGGAGAGGAAACCCCAGTGCTAAATTGAGACATTCTCCCCTGGGTGCATGAATACATGTGGGGACAATTAAAAAACAACACTAGATCCATTACTGGGTATTTGCATATGTATTTTCTCATAACGTTTCATGTTCACCACAGCTCTATAGAGAGTTGGAGCTATAATTAGTCCTATTTTACCCCAGAGAGGAAGTGACTTGACCGAAGGGCATAAAGCTGGCAAAATGCAGAGCCAAGACTCAACTGCCACCAAATCGCAAGCCCTTAACCACTGGGCAATGTCACCTGGTGGGCAGGTGAGTAGGTGGGCAGGTGAAAGTTGTGTCAATATGCTTGGAGCCTGGGTGTGTGTCAGCTTGGAGCCTGTGTGTGTGTGTGTGTGTGTGTGTGTGTGTGTGTAGGGGAGTGCATCGGTCCACAGCGCTAGGGTCTGAAAGTGTCTCAAGTGTCTAGACCTCTGATGAAAGGAAGTAAAGCTTCGCTGGTGGGTTGGAGCTCACCCACCTATATCAGAAAGCACCCCTCAGCTCTAGGGACTCAGTCAGACCCTCCTCTGCAACACCGTGAGCTTCTTAAAGGCAGCGGGGCCAGGACCCTGGAGCCTAAAATAAGACCGGAGTCAGAGGAGGCTTCAGCAAATTAGGGGGGCTATACATAAATGTATGACCTTGACATATCATTAACATCAATAATCATAATAAACGCTAACACTTTTTGGATCCTTAGCCTGTGATGGGCACTACTCTCAGTATTTCACATGGATTATTTCATTTAATTCTCACGACAACCCTTGGGGGAAATACTTTATAAAAATAAAAAGATTTTTAAAATATTATTTTTAGAGATAGAGGAAGGTAGAGGGAGCGAGAGAAACATCAATATGAGAGTGACACATCATCGACCGCCTCCCGCATGTGACCTGACTGGGACCCGCAACCCCTCAGTGCTCAGGATGACGACACCCAGCCAACTGAGACATTTTGGCCAGGGCGAGGGCAATACTTTTATTAACCCCCCCTTTCCAGAGGAGGAAACTGGTTTGGAGAGGGTTAGTAGCTCACCCAAAATAATGCACAGCTCGTAAGTGGCAGCATTGAAGATTGAGACCCAGACAGTCTTATGCCAGAGCCCATCTAGTAGAAAGATCACCGACCTCAGCGGAAGTTACTTGCCCACAATGGGCCTCAGTTTCCCCCATTTGCCCCAAAAAGTGACTAGCTCTCTGACCTGAAATATCCGATTCTCTTATTATTCTGTGATTCCTCTACATAGAAGAGGGATTAGGTTTGTTCTCAGTGAGCAGGAATCATAGAAGGCAGATTTGCCGAAACCGGTTTGGCTCAGTGGATAGAGCGTCGGCTTGCGGACTGAAAGGTCCCAGGTTCGATTCCGGTCAAGGGCATGTACCTGGGTTGCGGGCACATCCCCCGGTGGGGGATGTGCAGGAGGCAGCTGATCGATGTTCCTCTCTCATCGGTGTTTCTAACTCTCTATCTCTCTCCCTTCCTCTCTGTGAAAAATCAATAAAATATATTTTTTAAAAAAGAAGGCAGATTTGGCCTTAATTTGAGGAAGAGCTTTTGAAGTTTCAGGATGGTTCTAAAATGAAAGAGGCCAGCCTGGAAGGAGGTGAGCGTCCCGTCATTGGCGTTATATGAGCAGAGGTCTGAAATGAGGTAGAGGGGAGGAGACCTGGATCCCTGACTATGCAAGCACCTTCTAGCACTGAGATGAGCCAGCAGGAGGGGAAAGTCTCCGAGAGGAGTGGCAAGATGCGAGGAGAGGAACCAGAACCCACATTCACTGAATGTCACCTACTGTGTGCCAGACCTGGGCTTGCTATATTGCTAATTCTCAGGAAGACACGGTAAGATTTATAGTTAAGGAAACTCAGATTCAGAGAAGTGACTTGCTCAAGGTCACACAGAACAAAATGGTGAGCAGGTGATCCAGGTGTCTCACCATGGTCACTTTCCTAGGTCACCGAAGACCAACTCAGCTCCTTCCTCTCTTTCTGACCTTAGGGGCACCACCACGTGGTAAATTGCATCATACTTTTGCCATATGACGTCAGAGACCGTACCAGCCAATCCAGGAGCTCCCTGCTCAACCCTCCCTTAAACCCCTCGGGTTAACACGCGGCTGCCTAAGGCTAGGCGTCCGGGTCTGGCCGCACCTGCAGCCCCCGCCCCTTCCCGGTTGCAACGCTCCCAGTCCCCCGCCCAGTTCTCCCCGCAGCCCCGCCGATTGGCAGTTGCCCGCGCCAATCAGAAGGCCTCCCGGGTGGGGGGCGGGGCCTCAGCCGGAGTTGCCCTGTCAGTGCAGGTGGAGGCCCCCGGCCGGGGAAAGTGCAGGAACCTCTTAAAGGGAGAGAACAGCGGACGGAGAGAACGCGGTCCGGCTCGGCCCGGCCCGGCCCGGTCCCCGCCCCGTCCGGCCCAGGTGAGCCCTGACCACCCGTGGGGAGACCCCTGGTCTTCGGGAGGGACGGGGTGAGGGACAGATAGACCCATTCCCAAGGGCTCGGGCCGTCCCGGTAAGGCAGAGACCAGAGTCTAGGGCTGGGGGAGTTGGGGTCTAGGCGCCCCGGATTCTAAATTCCGCACCGGGGAGCTAGAGGGTCCTGGGCGTCTTGAAGTTAAGAGCGCGGGGAGGGCCACCGGCGACCGGAGGGGAGGACGGGCAGCTCGGGTCCGGAGCTGGTCGCTCGCCGCAGGCGGTCCCGGGCCTGCCCTGGGGGGTGGGGGGGAATCCCGAGTTAGGCTCCCGCGGACGCGTCTCTGCGGGGTGTGCAGCCCACGGTCCCCCGCCCCCACCAACCCCGCCCTGTTCGCGCCCGGCACGCTCCTGCCGGGTCCTGCGCAGCGCGGGCTGCAGCCTGCAGCCTGCGGGCGGGTAGCGCGCAGCGGGAGGGGGCCCCCCCAAGCCCGGCCCGGAGCCCCGCGCCCCGCTCCGGTCCTTACGTAACTGACTTTGAGTTTCCGGACTGCGGGACCCGCGAGGTGGGGCGCCGGCTTGCCCCACACTCTCCCTTCTAGGCTTAGGGGACTTCCCTCTGCCTCTGTCTCTCCGAGGGCTCTGCCCGTCTCAGATCCCGGCTTGCTCCTTTCCTCTATTCCCCGTGTGTCTCACCTCTGGTCTCTGTAGCCCAGTTCCTTCCTGGCCCTGTCCTCTGCTTCTCCCCTAGAGTGTTCTCCCCCTAACCTACCCCTCCTGGCAGACCCCGCCTCTTTGGGGTAGAACTGTTCTCACCTCCAGCAAATTGGAGGCGGAACTTGTCCAGACAACCCAGCCCAAGTTTGCCCCAGAAGGGGGAGGGGAGGACTACCCTGCGAGGGGGAGGGGGTGGTGGTCATTGCTCGGCTTCACTCGAGAGGGAGTGGCTGACCGAAGGCAGCCCCTTCTCTTTTCTGCAGCCCTTTTCTCCAGAAGGAGGAAGCTTGGGGAGAGCCTGGCTGGGGCTGGGGCTCTGGGCAGCTGGGAGTCCCTGTGAGAACTGCCTGGTGTCAGGTCAGGGTCAGATCCTCAGCTACGGAAAGGGAGTGGGAAGTAGGGCCAGAGCATTGGCACAGGGCCCTGAAGTTTGAGCAAGCGTCCCACCTTCACCCCAGTTCAGGCCTGGGGATGGGAAGATCAACAGAAGGAGGCCAGAGGCCTTTCGCATGGGGTGGGAGAAGGGCACAGGGCAGCTAGAAGGGACAGGTTATCAGGTCTAAGGAGCACCTGCTGGATCACCCTCCGTCTTCAAGGCCTTTCTGTGTGTGAGAGAGGCTGACACCTCAGAAATAACGCCTGTACCCTGCTGCTGTCGGTGCCTGTAAACAAGGTCTTATAGCAGTCATGAGGTGGGAATTCTTATTCTGACTAGGGATGGGGGAGGACAGACTTTGCAGAGTGAGGTGGAAGTGTTGGGAATTAGGGGATCCAGAAGCTGTAGGAAGCGGAGAGGAGGGAGGGAGGGAAGGGGACGTCCCCTGCCCTGTCGGCTTTGCGTGCGGCAGAACTGGGTTTGAATCCTGGCCCTGCCGCTTCCTTGCTGTGTGATGTTGTTGCATGAGTCATTTCACCTCTCTAAGTCCCAGATTCCTTTAGTCAATAATCCAGATCTCACAGGCATTAGCAGAATCAAATGAGGTAACGCATGTGCAGCGACCAGAATGATGGCTGTTCTGAGAGCAGGCCAGTGGGGGTGTTTTCACAAGGGGTGGAGTGGGGGAAGGCCTGAGGTTTCCTCTGTGTATATAGGAGAGTCAGGCAGGGCTTGCCAGGTTTCAGCAATGTGGGATGCAGGTGGAGGGCCTGGGCGTGTGGCTGATACTCAGTGAGGCAAGGAGGTCCACACCCGTCTGTCTGCTGATCTGCCCATCTCTGCGCTGCCTAGACCAAGCTGGCCTCCCTCCTGTAGCCCGCAGGTGCCAGTAGGAGCTCCCAGGGTTCCTAGGCTGCCCCGCCCCTTAAACCAGTGCGGGTGGGGCCCCTGGCAGGACAGGGTCGGCACCCCCCCTGCAGAGTGGATCCTGGCCAGGAGCCTGGCTGGCTGTGCTGGGCAGGAACATCCCAGCCTGGCTGGGAAGATGCTGACACTGTACAGGCCTTTGGAAGCCTAGAGCTCTGCTGGCTAGGGTCGGGTCGAGCACTGGGGCCTGAGCTGCAGGGTGAGACAGAGGCTGGGGTGGGAGTGATGAAGGGAGATACAAGGAGAAATAAGATACAAGGAGCCTGGGCAAAGCTGTGGAACCAGAGAGGAACTTCACGGGGTTAAGCCCTGAGCCTTTCCTGAGCTCCTGCTGTGTGCCATGTTCAGGTTTGCTAGCCACAGAGCTAAACCGGATACCCATGCATGGTTCACCATGGAGGTCATGGTGGGCTGAGATTTGTTAGGGGTTTGCAGAGTAGACCTTTATGATAGTCCCCTGAAAGGGGGTGGGGGGATTGGGCATTCAGAATTTCCCAAGGGCCTAAGATTCAGATGTTTATTAAAGGGGTCAGGATTTCACTTCCTTATAGTCTATGGACCAGTCACTTTTCTCCCTGGGTTTCAGTTTCCATTTCTGTGAAAAGAGAAGGGAAGACGAGCCTAGAGCCGTGGTCGGCAAACTGCGGCTCTTTGGCCCCTTGAGTGTGGCTCTTCCTAAGCCTTAGGAGTACCCTAATTAAGTTAATAACAATGTACCTACCTATTTAGTTTAAGTTTAAACAATTTGGCTCTCAAAAGAAATTTCAATCGTTTTACTGTTGATATTTGGCTCTGTTGACTAATGAGTTTGCCGACCACTGGCCTAGAGTCTCTAAAAGTCTTCCAGCACCCATTGCTATAGTCTCCAGGACCTGTTTAGGGACTTTGTCCATCCCCTACATCATCCCACATGAGGGAGAATGGACAGAATGGGGCAAGGACAAGGGCAAGGTCAAGTGAGATGGGCCCCCAAGTCCTGTTCTTGTCCTGCATTCTCTAAGCATAATTAGAGATGTACTTACTGTGCATGGAAGTCTGTGCTAAGCCTTCAATATGCACATTAACTAATGTCATCCTTACAGCCTCATGAGGGAATAGGTATTATCCCTCTTTCACAGGAGTTCAGAGAGGTGAATTGACTTGACCAAAGTCACACAGCTAGGAAGTGGCTGAGCTGGGATTTGAACCTAGGTCTGACCTCAAAGCCCAGACTGACTATAAGGGGGAGCCTCTTAGGTACTAGCCCTTGCCTATGCCCAGATTGCACCCACATTGTTTACCCCTTACCTATGGAACCTGCCTGACACCTGCTGGGTGAACTCAGAGCTCTGGGATATTCAGGCTGTGCCAGTGCCCACTGGGCCTGGTATGGGGGGAAAGGAGCAGAGGGAGCAATCTGTGGGTCAGCGTCCCACCAGAAGTTTCCCCAGATGGTCAGCAGCAGTTGACTATTGCTCGGGTGCAAGAGCTGGACACTGTGGTTATGTGGCCAACTTTGGACTTCAGTTTCTCCACCTAGAAAACTTGAATTTTATTATTTATTTTTAATATGTTTTTATTTATTTCAAAGAGAGAGAAAGGGAGGGAGAGGGAGAGAGAAACATCGGTGAGCTGACTTCTTCACACCCTCTACTGGGGATCAAGCCTGCATCCTGGGCATGTGCTCTGAATCAAACCAGCAACCTTTTGGTGCATGGGGTGATGCTCAACCAGCTGAGCCACACCGGCCAGGGCTGTGAAACTTGAGTTTTAGTAGTTGAGTGCAGACATTTCTTGGCCTATGGGTTTGTAGCTGAAGTCAACGATGGGGTAAAAGGTTAGAGGCGGGGTTGGTGTAGCAGTGCCTGAGCCTGTGGTGAAGGAAGAAGCGTTTGGGCCCGGAACAGCTTGGATCCTGGGCTGGCTCTTTGACAGCTATTTCAGATGAAGCGACTGAGGTTCAAAGCCGTGTCTGGGGCTGTGCAGCTAGTGTTGCAGAAAGGGAAAAAAGCAAGGGAGGACCTGGAGAACAAAGTCTCGGCAGATGCCAGTTGGAATCCTGGCTTGACCACTTAACTAGGCTTGGAGATATGAAGCGATGTGGCCAGAAACACACAGAGGAGTCCCTTCTCACTGTCCTCATCTGTAAAATGGGAATAGTAATAATTTCACCTTTGTCTACTTCCTGGGTTATTGTGAAGGTCAGAGGAGATGAGGCGAGAGAGTGGGTGCCTGGTATTTTTCAGTCCAAACCTGCAGTTCTGGTTATGTGTTTGTGGGGAGAGACACTTCTAATGGCCCCTCTGCTGAGATGCTTTACCCTGGTGATGTGTGGAGAACAGCCGAAAGAATGCCACACCATTTATTGAATGGGCTCAGGGCTTCGCCTCTCATTGTCTTCTTTAATCCCTACCTTGCCAGGCAGGTGGTGGCCTGACCTGTACTAGGTTCCTCTAAATCCTATGCCTACAGTTCCCTGTAATAATCGTAGCTAACACTAATGGACAGTTTATTGTGTGCCAAGCATTGTGCAAAATGTTTTACATATGTTCACTCACTTAATTTGCACAACAACCATGGAGGTGAGTACTAATGCTATCCCCTTTTTACAGATGAATAATTGAGGAGGCCCAGGGGTGGGGGTGGAATAATTGAGGCACAGAGAAGTTAAGAAATGGCTCCAGTATAACAAAGCTAGTGAGTGGCAGGGCCAGGATTTGAACCCAAGTTCTCATTTCCTCCTTGAAGCACTCATCACAGTTGTAATCCAGCTAATATTATATGATTGCCTCCTTACTGCACTATAGGCTCCATGAGGGCAGGGACCATGTCTGTCTACTTCATACTATATCTCCCACACTTGGCACACAGTAGGTGCTCAGTTACTATTTGTCCACAGGGATCCTGCTGCCTCCAGCTGGGCTGGGCCCTGGGAGGCCTGATGAGCTCAGGATGAATTATCAGATTATCAGGTTGCTGACTAAGAGGGTATCTGCCCCAGCGGAGC